CCCGCCAACAAAAAAAAAAAAAAAAAAAAAAAAAAAAAAGTTTTCAAGCAGCTGGAAAGGATGTTGGGTTTCAGACATGGATGGAGGAGACGGACACCCCCCGGAAACTGTGACTCAGGATGAGGTGGGGACAAGATCCAGGGTCAGAGGGCATCCGACAGAGGTTTCCTGGCATCTGGGATCTTCTTTTGTGTCCTCCTCTGTGCTCATGTCACCTCAGGACATGCTGGAGAAGCAGAAACACAGTCAAGTTATTGTTATTGTATTTAAAGAAAGTGGAAAATGTTCCATGTGTGGGGAATCCAAAAGAATGATCTAATCGGCTTCAGTGTGCCCTTAGCAACAAGAGTGGCACCTGCCTTTCAAGGTCTGCCACCTGTCACCCACCTTCTAGGTATGGTTCTGAAGGGGACTTCTCCCTTGGTGCCCCAGCCAAAGAACAAGGCCCCAGGGCCGGTGCCCTCGATCAGACTGGAGGGAGGCTTCATCTCACCCATCTACTCACCAACCCATCTGCCCACCCATCCCCCCACCCACCCACCCACCCATCCATCCGTCCATCCACCTATCCAACCATCCATTATTCATTCACTTATCCATCACCCGTCCACCTATCTATCTATCCATTTATCCACCCATCCACCCATATACCTGTCCATCTACCTACCATCCATCCATCTGTCCACCCTCCCACCTGCCCACCTGTCTGTTCATCTGTCCACCCATCCATTGCTCCCAACCATTCCTTCTTTTATGTATTTAATCGTTTTAGACTGCTTGTTTTTATCATCTCTATCTGAGGATTCCCAGGAGGAGGTCTAATGCTGCTATTTGTTGTACCCGCCGACTTTTTCTCATGGTGAATGATTTCCTCACGTGTTTTGTGTCTGTGGTTGGGAACTCAGCTCCAGGAGGACTGAGATGGTCTTGTCAGAAATGCATTGAGAACTTGCTTCTATTCAGTGTGTCCAGGGCAGTACTGGTCTAAGACGATTTTTGATGTTTATTTCTCAGCTTGGGGCTTCTTGGGTCACATGGGTAGTATTAAGGCATGTGGCCGGGCCATGTAACATATTTGTAGCGGAGTGTGTGGTCAAGGATTAACCCTGCAGGTTCCAAAGGAAGGTCTGGCCCTTGCCTGGCTTCTGGGAGGTCATCTCTAAGCCCTTGGAACGTCCTTCCCGATAAGAGTATCTTTGTTTGCCTGGGGCCTGGGGTCACCCTGGATAGTCTATGCTGACAATGTGATTTAAGGCAGGAGCCATGGACCATGTGGTATCAGTTCAACCTCTGGAGGGGCTAGAGACTAAGGTCAGCCACGTGGGTGGTCCACCATGCATATGACTGACCCCCAGTAAATACCCTGGACACCGGGGCTCAGATGAGCACACCTGGTTGGTGACACTTGGTGTGCATCACCACACCTGGCTGCTGGGAGAATTAAGGGCTGTCCCCAAACAACTCCCCTGGGAAACAACTGGAAACGTGCACCTGTCTCCCCTCACCCCACCCCACACTCTTTTTCCCATTGCTGACTTTGAGCTGTACCCACACTTCCACTTTAATAAACCATAACTGTCAGCAGATCAGCTTTGCTGAGTCCTGTGAGTCCTTCTAGCAAACCACTGCCCCCGAGGGTGGTCTCCAGGACCCGTGACACACAGGGAGGCTTTTCCTGGCATCCAGAGTCAGGCAGACACACTGAGATAGGTTGTGGGCAGACAGTGCACCCTCTGGCTGAGTAAAATCCTGGGCTTCAGGGGGCCTGGCTCTGGGTGGACATCTCAGTCAGGGCCGCTGTGTGGCTCAGCTCTGGGGCCTCCTGTTAATGACTCCCCGCTGGAGTGGAGTAGGAACCGGCTGCCTGGCCCCAGAGGAGGCCCTGTTGTCATGGTAACCACGGTCTCCCTGCCTCCCTGGTGCAGCATCCTCCCCCCATCAAAAGTAAGACATGAGGCACTCATCCACATAGAATGTTTCCAAAAAAAGGTGCCAAGATCACCCCGCTTCCCACCCACCTTGTTTCCTGATCTTCTGTGGCCAGAGCAGACCTGTGGGAAAAGGAAGGAGTCTCAGCATTAGTTGCCTGTCTGGGGAGCTTTGGCATTTGGCCATGAGCCCCATGAGGGCCAATAATGGCTTCACCCTGATCTGGCACAAAGCAAGTGTCAGCACGTGTCAGCTGTGTAACAAATGAGCCAGGACAGGCAGTCGTGAGAATGGCTGAGCCCCTTCGCTGCCACAAAATGAAATCACTATTGCTGCTCCAGGTCCACCCACTGGGAAGGCTGAACCCATCCACCGGGACCTGCACAAAGGTCACCAGCTGGAACCTTCATCTGAGAGCAGATCTTGGTGTCTCGGCCACATCAGCTGCCCCTGGTCCCCATGCTTGGCCTGTGCTGGATGCAGGGTGGGAGGAGGAGGGGGCAGTGGTCCCAAGATGCAACCGCTGCCCTCAAGGAGCTAAAGGACAGGAGAAGGAGGGTACGACAAGGGTCAAATGCAGGAGGCAGACCTGAAGAGAGAGACAGGAAAGGTGGGAGGGGCCTCTAGAGGCCAGGAGGGGGTCATGCCATCTGTCTACACATCCCAGGGTGAGGCACTAAAGGACTTTCAGTAGAGAGTTGCTGGATTTTAAAAAAAAGGAGGGATTCCCTGGCGGTCCAGTTGTTAGGGCTCCGTGCTTCCACTGCAGGGGGTACAGGTCCTATGCCTGGTTGGGGAGCTAAGATCTCTCGTGCCACGGCCCAGCCGGGGGGAAAAAAAGAAAAGGAGGAGGACAGGAATGGGAACAACTGCTTAACAGGGTACAGGGTCTCCCTCTGGGCTGCGGAATGTTCTGGAACTGGAGAAGGCGCTGGTTGCCCAAAGCTACAGATGCACTAAATTTACATTAAAATGGCTCGATGGAGTGGGCCTCATGCTGGCGAATTCACAGCGGCGGTCTTACTTCAGCACCATGGTAATGTCAGATCACCTTCATCTGAGGTTCCCTGGGCTCAGCAGCCCCCCGCGGGTGTGGGCTCTGGCCCTGTGGCCACCTGCACACACTTACCTGTCCTCCGCCAGCCCCGCCTCCGCCTTCTCTTCAGACCTGGGCAGGACGCACTCTGGCTGCGGCCTTGCGCTGGGGACAGAAAGAGGTGACAAGGGATGACCAGCCAGCCGAGTGGGCCCAGGGGCTCTCGGCTCCCACTGGCTCCTCTGTCTGGACCCACCATGGCCCGACAGCGATCAGGAGAGGGTTTGGCTGCGCCCGGGGAAACGCGGGGGCCCAGAGGGTGGACTGCGTGACGGGATGGCCAGGGGTTCATGAAGATGGACGCAGATGGTTGGCGGGGGCGGGGGGGAGGGGCTGTGGGTCATTCCTTGGGGGTGCTTATCTCAGCTTATCGCCGCCGCAGGGGCCTCATGCACTTGCTCCCTAGACGCTGCAGCCCGTGTGCTATGATTCTGGAAGGTGGGCGCCCTGCTTGTCCTGTCATCTGTCTACTCCCATCCATAGCTAAGGCTCAGGAGGCGGGGGGAGCGTAACTCAGACAGAGAAACAGAGGAGAGGGGGACCTGGGGGTGGGGAGAGAGGGAGGAAAAGAAAGAAGCCAGACCGACAGACATGACTACCTCACACCCATCAGGATGGCTACTACCTTTAAAATTAAAAAAAAATGTTTTTTGGCCACACCACGTGGTGTGCGGGATCTCCGTCCCCCAACCAGGGATCGAGCCCACAGCCCCTGCAGTGGAAGCGCAGAGTCTTAACCACTGGACCGCCAGGGAAGTTCGCAGGATGGCTACCGCCTTAAATGTAGAACATGTGTTATGTTACTGTGTTGGCGAGGATGTGGAGAAACTGGAACTGCGCATGGCTGGTGGGGTGAGAATGTCCAATGGGGCAGCCGCTGTGGCAAAGATTCTAGCTGCTCCTCGAAAGATGAAACATCGAGTTACCATAAGATCCAGCAACTCCACTCCTGGGTCTATATACACCCCAAAGAAGTGAAAGCAAGCACTTGACCAGATAACTGTACACCCGTGTTCACAGCAGCACAATTCACAACAGCCAAGAGGTGGAAACCCCCAGTGTCCATCGAGAGGTGATGGATGAACGAAATGTGGTCTATGCGCACACTGGAATATTACTCAGCCTTAAAAAGGAAGGAGATTCTGACACTTGCTACAATGTGGATGAACCTTGGGAACCTTATGCTCAGTTGGATAAACCAGACGCAGGAGGACAAATACTGTCTGATTGCGCTCACACGAGGTCCTAGAGAGTCAGAGCCACAGAGACAGGAAGTAGATGGTGGGGGCCAGGGGCTGGGGAGTCAGTGTTTCACGGGGACAGAGTTTCAGTTTGGGAAGATGAGAAAGTTCTGGAGATGATGGTGCGGATGGTTGCACAACAATGTGAATGTGCTTAATGCCACCGGGCTGTGCACTTAAAAATGGTTAAGATGGTGAATTTTATGTCCTGTGTATTTTACTGCAACTAAAGATATTGGGAAAAAAAAAAAAAAGACAGGAAGGAAGGAAAGAGGAAGGGGAGGGAGGGAGGGAGTAGAGAAGAGAGGAAAGGAAGGAGAATCCCTGGAAGGCGTGGGATGGCGGGTCCCGCTGCCCTCCACGCCCCCTTCCACGCCACTCACGCTCATCACTATTAAACGACGCTGTGTGAAGCCGCCCTAATTTTTCTCATTATTTGTCTCATCTGCCGACATCACCCGTCCTGCCCCAGGATCTGCTTTCCTCACTCAGTGAGGCAACCTTCCCCTTTGCCCTTTGAGGAAACTTCTGGACCAGGACTCAGTCTTAATCGCCTCAGTCTCCCCCAGGCTGGCACAGGGCCTGGCATGCTTTCGACTCACTGAAAGCCCCAACTCTTTCTCAGACTTGCTGTGTGGCCTTGAGCAAGTGCCTTGCCCTCTCTGAGCCAAGGATTCCCAGCCTGTCAGGCGCTTTTAGGAATCCTGGCCCTGCCCTCCTCTTGGGGCGAAGGGGTGGGGATGGGGGGGATGAGAAAGGATACAGGAATGGTATAAGGGCTCCATAACTGGGTGGGACCGAAATAGTCCTGAAGTTTTGTGAGCACTGCCACTTTCGAAAATTAGCCAATAAGTCAGTGAAGGGGCGATTCTCGGGTAAGTCTGTCAGGGGCGAGCATGGAGCGGGTTGTGTTCCCCCCACTGTCATCAGGATTACTAGGAGGACTCTCTATGGAGTCTACTATTTTTGTCCGGTGGGTTACGTTGGTCCTGATTTCTCACAATAATCCTCAGGGTGGCTGTGAACTTTTCACTTGCCTAATGTCACTCTGTGACTAAGTGAGGGAGCCTGGATTTGAGCCTGGATCTGACTCCAAGCCCTCGAGAGAAGGGCAGGGCCTTGAGCTACATGCGTGCATGACATGGGTCCCCACTGAGCAGAAGCCACCAATTTCCCCCCAGCTGTGGACCCGGCTCAGCGCCAGCCCTAACCTGGCCCGGGCACAGCCCACTCCGCACAGACCTTTCTCTCCTGGCCTTGAGCCTTTCCTCTTCGTACCTGGAAGAGAGAGAAAGGAAAGCACATGAGATGCAGCCTGGGAATCCCCTTCCCTCTGGGAACAGGGAATCAATCTCACTGTCACATCTGAATCCATGCCAGGTCTTAGAGCAGAAAGGACAGCCGGAGCTGACGGGTCTACTGGTCTTTTTTATGTTTCCTGCAGCAGTTGCTTTACAAGCCTGCCCACGCCCACCCGACCCCAGGGCAGGGGATATCTGTTTTGTTGGTATATTCCACCAGCTGGAATAGATGCGGCTCAGCGGACATTTTTTGCAACAGCCCCGAGCACAGCCAGTATAAAGCGACCCCCTCATTGACGTGGGTTTGGTCTACAGGCCCCTCCATCAGGGCAAAGTTTTTCTGTAAAGGGCCAAAGAATCAGTATTTTTGGCTTTGCAGGCCAGTCTCTGTGGCAACCTCTCGATTCTGTTGTAGCTCGAAAGCAGGATGGTTTGTAAATGGATGCGTGTAGCCGTGTGCCAATAAAACTTTATTTATAAAGACAAGCCAGGGGGCCAGGGCTCACTGGCCCACGGCCTGCACTAGATAGCCAGGCCCACTGTGTTCTGTAATTTCACAGGAGCTTGTTTCCCTGTATTTCCTTCTTTTCTGCTTTCCCACACAGGTCTGGTTACCTGGCAGCTCGGTGGCTGAGAGGCAAGCAGCCCGGGGGGCAATGGGGATGGAGGTGCGGC